TTAGGGCTTTATGAAGTTTAGGGTTCTATGGGTTTAAGGCTTTAAAGGTTGAGGGTTCTATGAGTTTAATTGAGGGCTCAGGGCTTTATGAGTTCTATGGGTTTAAGGGTTCAGGGCTTTATGGGATTTGGGGTTCTATGGGTTGAAGGGTTTAGGGTTTCAGGCCTTGATGGGTTTGTGGTTCCATGGGTTGAGGGTTTAGGGATTTGAGATACCTGCTAAAGAAGTGTGAATGAGATTTCTCCATAGGACCTTACGTGAGCCCACCCAGGAAATGACCCTCAGCAAGCCCGACAAGTTTCAACAGTCCTGGGACTGGGTTGCCGTTAAGGAAGTTATAAATCACAGTAGTAAAGAAACCCTGTTATGTACTATATACCCGTATTACAGTATTTTTTTGATCAACTGCCATATGTCTTAACGCCGCAGTCAGCAGAGATTAGAGGCAGCAAGCTTGGCAAGACTTCGGACGCTTAGGTCTCCCTGCATGCTTGCAAAATAGATATATCCAAAGAACTGCGACCTTGTAAAAGAGATCCACAATTTTGGAGGAAAGCTGGCGTGGCTTGGGCAATGCATCCACTGATTGCTGGAAACCTCTATACATCCCCTCGGCGCAAAGTCCTCCCCAAGGTGGACTCAGCGCGCCGCAGGAAGAAGATGACATAGGCATGGCTGACCTTGTCCAGTACCTGGGACACAATGTGCGCATTTCTGTCTGCAAGGGAACCATGTAGTGCTTTGTGTCTAGACACCCTAAGTAAATCTAATGTGATCTGTCCTTGAGACTGTTCCAATAACGACCAGGTACAGGCCGGACGTTCGTAGGCCAGTTGCCTGCGCGGCTGCGGCGACTCACTTTTCAGGGTTGAGGGAAAACCCTGGACCCTAAACCTGAAACCCTATATATCCCTTATGTATCCCCTACATATCCCCTTTAAAGGGACCTAATTATTTGGAAGCTCTGATGGGAGTTTCAAAGTGAGGGCCACATCATGTTGCATTTTCTCAGAGCAAGGGTGCTAATAGTACATAGGGTCCCTGGGCATGGGAAAAGAATGGCAGACAGCCTAATATTAATAATATTCATAATATTATTCATATTAGTATTAATATTAATAATAATATGAATATTCTTGATATTTATATTGATATTAGTATTAATATCATTATTAAGGTCCTGATGAGGTCCTAAGCTTTTTTTCGCCTCGCCCCCTACCCACGGACCGCAACTGAACATTGATGCGGACCCCCACTTGAATGGGCCGGATGTACTGTACGTACGTAGTACGAATATCAAAGTTGCCGTGCGATCCTCTCTTTGCGAATCTGGGTTGCTGTTAAGGAACTTGAATTAAGTTACTATATTGGGGAAACCCTATTGTTTACTATATATACCCATTATGGTAACTTAATTTGAGTCCCTTAACAGCAACCCAGGTGTTTCTCAGAAGCAAGGTCCCTGTAGACCTGAGAGCATGTCACAGTCCTTTGTAGCAGGGCCAGGGGCCCGGGACCCAGAGAGGACCCAAGAATTCAGGGACCCGGAGGAGCCCCATTCTGGGTTGCTGTTAAGGAACTTAATTTAAGTTACCATAATGGGCATATATAGTAATTTATAGGGTTTCCCCAAATATAGTAACTTAATCTAAGTTCCTTAACAGCAACCCAGATTACGACCTGCTTCTGAGTCTTGCAGGGTGTCTCTTCGCGACACCGAAAGACAATCTGTACTTGGATCCTGCAAAGTTGCAACTGCTTCTCATCTTATCTGTCTCAGGCGAGATTTGAAGAACATTCAGGGCCATTGAGGGTCCCATGATCTGGGGCACAGATTTGGGCTTCCGTAAATGCTAACTCCTTATCATTACTCTTGTTTGATCACCTTCTGAAGATGGACGTGAAAGTGTCCAAGAGAAAGAGAATCCAGGCCCCAGTTTGTCAGCAAAAGCTTCCGCCCCACAGTCTTCACAGTAGCGCATGGTCAGGTTTGGGGAGAGCACGACCCTACGAACCTACATGAACCTACGCACCAAGCTCTGCAGGCAGCACACCCTGCCCTTTACCAGTCCGGTTAGAAGTTGCACCTGCGCAGACCTGGAAACCCCGAACCGCAAGACCCCAGACGGCCCGTAGGGACCCAAGGTGTATGGCAATTAGGCTCAACATTACAAGGCCCTCGTCCACTGTGCTCAACTCCAAGATTGCAGAGATACCCAAAAATCAGAGCCTTCTCTTACCTCGTCCCCAAGCCTGCTGACTCTAAACGCTATAAGCCTAAACCCTACAACCCTATAAGTTGGATACTGCTAATATGAACCTATGAAGCCCTTAAGGCTTCCTTCTTCATAGGATGTTACTGGGGGGGAAGAGGGGGGGGGGCCACAGCAAACCCCATAAGCCTTGACCTAGCCCAAAAATTGAATCAACTCCAAATCCTAAACCCCCGAGCCACGGAGCGCCTGCAAATGTTATTTCCTTGGTCTGGCGTACAAGGTTAGGAAAATCGGTTTGGGAGCTCATGTGCACGTGAAAGAAAAACCTAGTATACCTCCGATGAAGAAGTATGGGGGGGGGGTAGTCTTTACCATTAGGATGTGGAGGGGTTATTGTTCGCGGCAAGCAGTTACAACAGGAAAGAATTTCCAAACATAAGCCCCGTCTCATACAGAGTGTAGAGAGCACGGTAAGCAGTGCCGTAGTGCAGCCAAACCCATTGTCGATCTTCCAGATTTTCGCTGTCGCTTTGGGAAAACTCCTGCAGGGCAGTGTTTGCAGAAAACCTTCTGGTACCTGAACTACGTTGACAGACCCTGCTGTTTCTAAGAGGGGGGTACTCTGGGATTGTTTCAGGGATTTAGTAGGCAGGAACGATCCAAACAGGTGGGATTGTTTAGCCTGAGTGCTTTTGGGAGTTTTCATGGGGCCCCTGTTGTGAAGATACAGTACTCTCTGAACCTTCATGTACAGAATCATCATGGAGATTCTCTTGCGGGCGCTATGTATGTTGAGGGGAATTGGGAAGGCTAACCCCCCAAATTGAAACCCTCTTTGAGTCACATGATAGCCATAGGGTCATAACTTGTGGGGCTGGGGTTACCAAATTCCTCTTGTTAATGTATCTGTAATGCAATTAATCTTCAGACATGTCACATCGCCCCAAGTACTCACTGCATGCTCCGTCTCATTAGACCCGCATTATCCAGGCCATGTCAATACGCACCCTAGACCCTACTACACCCTAAACACCCTAATCAACCCTAAGCCCTAAACACTAAACACCTTAAACACTCTAAACCCTGAACCCCTACACCCTAAATAAGATCCCATACACACACACCATGCACTCCCTGAACCCCAAGCCCCAGAATTCCGACAAGTCTGCATCAGCAGCCTGACTGACCTCTTTTGGGGGGTTTCCCTTCCCAAAATTAGGGGCACAATTTTGGGGTCCCTGTATAATAAGGATCATATTATTTCGGGGTTTATATTGGGCTCGTCACCATAAATAAAAGACTACCATGTACGCTTTCGGGTTTAGAGTTATCTCTTCCACAAGAAGCCCAAGGCAAGCCCCAAAGCCAAAGGCCTACTTGGAGGGTCATGGGGACTTAGTAAGTAGGTGAATAATAGGGATAACTGCGGTTACTGGCTTTAAAGGTTAGTAACCTACTTACTAAGCCCCCATGACCCTCCAAGCCTTAGCTCGTTTTCACCCCCACAGTCCAGGAGCAGGTTTCCCAGCACCAATGCACCCATGGACATGAAAACTGCCAGAAGAACCATTGACCAACCTTGCTCGGGCTTAGGGTTTAGTGGTTTAGAGGTTCAGGGTTTTAGGGGTTAGGGGTTTACGGGTGTAGGGTTTTTGGGTTTAGGGCTTAGGGTTTAGTGGTTTAGGGCCTCCTTTCCATGAGGTTTGCGTGAGGTTTACGTACTGCAGGGGAGCATCGGCCACGTCTCAAGAATAGACAACAGGACCGTAGTAATCCTGTTGAAGTACACGGTTCCCCAACACAGCAAGCAGCACAGAAAACTCAACACAGAAAAGGACGTTCATGGTCTAGCCTCAGAGGTTAATGCTTCGGGTTGAGCTTTGGGTCCACCGGAATGCTTCGTTGGACCATGGCGCAGCCAGTGCTTCAGGGTCTCTTGGCTTTCAAGCTTGTCAAGGGAAGTTAGAAGGTACACCTAAATTGGAGGATTGCGGTGGTTACAGAACTTTGTTGGCCAATATATGGTAGTTACCCAAAATAGGGGAGCCCAAAATAGACCCCAATATACTATAATCCTTATTTACCCCTAATTTTGGGAAACCCCTATATGTGCTGCTCCCCAACCGCAAGGTACACACTGCGCTCACTTACTTAATTACTCACGAAGCACGGTGGAGGCAGGCGTTTTAGGCAATCAAGGAATATTCACCTCAGCAAGTTCGAGAGTATCGAGCAATCCCACCCCTACACTTGTAATTTTGCCATCATATTTGGGGCAGCCACCCTTCTTCTAGTTGTGCAATTCGTTCGGATCAAACACGTCTACAGCTTTTAGTGCAATACGATTCAGAAGCCCAAGGAGTGTGGAGTGTACCTACCCAGCTACAAGCTTGAATTGTTGTTTCCGAGTGTGATTGTCTTGCATGCATGAGACTCTTTCTTCGTGGGAAAGCACAGCAACCAAAAAGAAGCTTCTTGGATGCTATAATACTACATACTACACTATACTCTTATACACTACAATATACTAGAAAATGCTGTAGTATCAGCTATCTTATATCACTGACAAACAACTGCTATCTCATCTAAGCTTAAATGGAACCTCATCAGGGCGCACGTATGAGGACGGTAGTTTTTGCTGAGCCCCTTTTCATGCTTCGTGTTTTTTGGTTGCGCAGGCGTCTCGAAATATGGGCTGGTAATATGAGCCATAGTCTAAACTCCTAGTATCCCCTTGAACAACCCCAATAGTAGTCCACTATATAAACTCCTATATAAGCCCCTTTACAAGCCGTGACAAGTGCTGATAAGATCTGATGATCTACCTTCCCCCGCCAAATTCCCGCCTGACCATCCGGAGCTTGTCTTAATGGTGGTTTGTAGGGCATGAAAGAAGCAAGCCTTATGATACTCTCCTCCTAACAATGCAGCCACCTAGCCCCTTCACATTACATACCTTGAAAGTAATGCCAGTATACCAGGGGGCAACATCACTTATTGTTCATGTGTTGGGGAGGTTTGTTGCCAGAGGGAGGGGCTTAGTGTCTACAGTTAGTACTTTTCATTGTCTTTTCCAATCATTCATTACGCCTACAAACCTTTAACTCAAGCCCTATGTATCCTTACATATCCTTATAACTCCCCCAATGTCCATGTCATTTTCATTCGGTTTTGCCTTGTTGGCAGGTTATAATTATCCATGGACGTCCACTTGGTAGCCCAGTGAACGCATTGCTGTAAGGGTACCCTTTTTCCATATCATTAATTGTACAAAGAAATCTCAAAACCCCAAAAGGGTAAAATGGCACCACCGGGGTTGTGGCTCAAGTAGAACCCCCCAAGCCAAGGCTGTTTTGAAAGTCCGGGAGGCACAGCGACGGCAAGAAGCATTGGCAGGCTTGCACCAGCAAGCGCAGGCCTCGCACGAACCTGTCGTCTGTAGCGCTTTGGGTTTAGGGCTGGGGCCTGAAGGCTTAGAATGTACGTAAAGTTTTTGGTTTAGGGCTTTGACAAGAGCGCTTTGGCTCTAGAATGTTGACCTCTCCCCCTAGTAAGGAAACTGTCCAGATGTGTAATGAAACTGTCCGTATGTATAGTGTGACTATAGAAGAAATAGTTGTTGCTTCGGGGCTGCAGGTGTGTTTCATATCGGGAGGAGATTAGAGAGTAGCAGAGACGAACTGCAAGAATGTTTTTGCCTGCTAGAGCTTGCTACTTAAAATGCAGGAGTTGGTGTACCCAGCCCTTTGGGAAAATCTAGAAAGTAGCTCCCCGTTGAGGCTTCCTAGAAATAACCCAACATAGCTGTAAAGGGTACCATCTTTGGGGCTCTACTTTCTAGATTCACAGCCTGGGGTGCAGAAGAGCAGACAGGTAAAGAAAGCAACAACCTGGAAATCGCATGTAATTCCAACCAGAACTCATCCTTAGACTCCCCAAGAAACACTACGTTGCAGTGAAGAGGGTGCGGAGGTGAACATGGCCAGCATAGTAGGGTTTAGATCAGGAGAACAATGAAACAGTTGATTTACCGAAGCTGAACCCAGACACCTGCAAGCCGTGGAAAAGAGTCTCGCACACTTCGAGACCCATGCTCTAAAGCTACAAGTTCAAAGACGGCAAGTTCTGAAACTGAAGCAACACCTCAAACGGGAGCCCGCAGAAATCACAGCTCTCAATGCGAACACCTATGGTTACATAGCTTTGCCCAGTAAGAATGAACATAATTTCCAGGATCCGTAGTTTTGCCGATCCATTTGAGGAAGCCCCACATGCTATGCCCAGATTCCACTCCCTGAATCTTCCGATGAGGAGAACATGCCTAGCCATCCGTCAGGATTTGGAGGTTTCCCAAAATCAGGGTGTACCGTTTTGGGGGTAACAAGGATTAGAGTTTATTGGGGTCTATACTGGGGTCCCCTTGGGAAAACCCTAAATCCTAAACCCTAAACCCTAAAACTACAATCAACCTGGGGTCCCCTTGGGAAACCCTAAACCCTAAAACTACAATCAACCTGAAAGTCCGTAGCAGCCGGACAGAGCGGAAAGATTTCAATGTCCTGGCCGACGCATGTGGGGATTGTCCTAAATTACTGTCAATACGGGGTCCTATATTTAGGTTCCTATTATAATACGGGGCCCTATAAAATTTTCTCCATTTTGGGAACAGTAATTTAGGGAAACTTCCATGTAGTTCCCGTCGAACTAGGCCCCTTCTACTTGCGTTGGCTGATACAGAAGCACGCAGAAGTAACACATAAGCTATAGTCTAAACTCCTTAAAGGGGGTTTTATGGGGGATTATATAGGGTACTATAATAGGGCTTAGTAAGCGGGATACTCGGAGTTTAGGCTATGGGTCACATGATCAAAAGGCCGAACCCCTGCTGAAAGCAGGTCGAAGAACTCAAACAGTGAGTTTTAAACAGGCACGTCCTAGAGGGGATACTTGGATGGTGCTGAGATACTGCTTGAATAAACATTTTCTTGCTGGATTGATTTTAGTTTTTGATTGATATCTTAGGTGGCTTCAACAAGAGCCCCAGGCAATTCCTTGCCTTTGGGCTTACTGACTGCTGGGTTGTTCTTAAGCAACTTGATTTAAGTTACTATTTTGGGGACACCACTATTGGGGACACCATATTAGTTACTATATATACCCATGATGGTAACTTAACTTAAACTCCTCAACGGCATCCCAGATTGTGGCTAGCTCTGTGCGACGCAGCTGCAGGACGCCCAGCCTATATGATGAAGGACCATACTTGGAGGGTCATTTTGACTTAGTAAGTAGGTTATAGATGGGGATTTCTGGGGTTGTAATGCCTTATAGGGTTATCAACCACTTACTAAGTCCCCATGACCCTCCAGATGATGTGAGACCTTAGAGAGCCTCAGGGGGCCTGGATTTGTGCTGCGATGGCCCCACGAACGGTTCTTGGAGCGCGAGTAGAAACAAAGAATTGGTCAAAATGCTGAACTGCTTGTAAGCTATCCACCAAGATGCACTTGGCTGCATCTTTAAGCTGCGTACAGTTTTTTGGACACAATGTTCCTTGAGGTGCGCATTTGCGCAAGCAGGCCTGCAAACAAGTCAAGAAAGGCTATCTTAGGAAGACCTTAGTCTTGCGCCCCCGTTATAGGTTATAAGTTCCACTGGCTAGTTTGTGTGAGGATTGGAGGCGTGGACGACGACACCGGCTTGCTTTCCACGGCGCTTGGTTGAACTAGTAGGACTGAAGAGAAATAGGCCAACCCAATTTATTGGTCACCCAGCTTGTGTATTGCAAACAAAGCCCTGAAACATAACAAGACATGGGATCTGTTGGCTTGAACATGTCATTGAAGACTCGAAATGCTGCCAGCAACAGAAGCAACCAGGAAAAAAAGGTATGATGATTTGGATTGGCTGCCACACGACAGATGTCATGATGTGATTGCATAATATTTTTGAGGCGTATGCTAGACAATCTGCAAGGCTTATATGGGTTCTCTTGAAGGATTCCGTGATTCCTTGTTAAACTTTGTGCCAATAACCCAAAGAATCTTACGTGCACGTTTAGGAACTGCATCGAGATTATCAGGAATCTACTGTTGGAAATATAGATACGCAACTGCAGATGAGAATGCAAGCGCTGTCTGCACTACTTGGAAGGGAGAAATGACATGAGTGATGGTAGGAAATGTGTCGACAACTAGATTACGTGAACCTGCACTCATTTTGGCAATATCCATCATGATGAGGTTGGGAGACTGTAGCATTGGGTGGAAGCACAATCCTCATATAACCTCAGAGCCCTAGTTTCAGTTTGAAGGGATGACCTCCCCCCTAAACCCTAGCTCCAAAACCTTGCAATTAAACCCACACAAAACCCCTAAACCCTAAATCATTAACCCTAAACCCCTGAACCCTAGCCCCTAAGCCCTAAACTCCTTCCGTACCGCAAATGCGTCCTCACCACGCGCATCATGGCATCGTTCTGACTGCCGGCCATGGGCACCATGATGAACAAGTCAACCATCCTAGGTGCTGTAGCTAGGGTTTAGGGTTTAGGGTTTGGGGTTTAGGGTTTAGGGTTTAGGGTTTGGGGTTTAGGGTTTAGGGTTTGTGGGGCTAGTCTGGCCAAAGGGTTCAGGGTTTAGGGTTGAGGTTTAGGACTATGGGTTTAGGGGGCTAGTCTTGGGCGGACGCAGAGAGAAGAAGCTCCTTCAAGGGCTCCTATACATAACCACGAAAATCCAATCTTTTTTCACCTATCTCCAGCTTTTTCGTGTCATAGAGTAATTCCTAAACCTTAGGTTGGGCCCCCACCACTAACAGTGACCGCAACAGGTAATGGTACTTATATTAGGGTCCTTAAATATTCCTAATATACCACTGTTAGTGGGTGGAAGCCCTAACCCTAAACCCTGAACCCCTAAACCCTAAACCCTTACCCCTATCCCTAAACCCTGAACCCCTAAACCCTATATACGAGGTCCAAAAGAACTCCGGGACACGGATTTACCTTGGGGATGCCAAGTCCTCTCTGGAAAAACGGGGTGCCTTGGGAGAACCTGTGGCTCAGAAGAGGTTACTTTGAGGAGCTCAGGGGACTTAGAGAGCAGTTTAGAATTAGGGTTTAGGGCTTAGGGTTTAGGAGTTAGGGGTTTACGGTTCAGGATTTAGGGTTTAGACCCCGATTATGAGACTCGTAGCCCCATTTATAACCTACCTACTAAATCCCTGGGCCTTCAAGTAGGGAAACATGTTGGGTTAGTATAAGTGATCTTGGCACTTCGTAAGGTGGACAGCTGAAGAATCAGGAATAGTACCCGCTCATTGTCACGATGTAGTTTTAGCTGGTATCCCCTAAAACCGCATATGACCTTTTTTGGCCCTGAACCCCAAAACCCAACCTTCCTCAATGGTCCCCCAAACTACAAGTGATTCTGCAAACATTGGGCGGCCTTAAGATGCCATGATTACCCTAAACCCTAATCCCTCAATCGTGGGACCGTCAAGGTGCACGGCTGAGGCTAGAGGGTGAACCCCACAGAAGGAGCTCCCTCGACCAAGGATTGAGGCTGTAATCTCCTTCGACCTATAAAAAATAGTATTTTTGATCCTTCCTTAGGGTTTTACCCTAACACAATTTTACCAGAAAATCTTAAGGAGTAGGGTACCTTGCATCCTATAAGGGCTCTCCGTATGCCTCAGGGCATATTCCTTGCTTGAGGCCTGTTGGCTTCTCTGGATTGAGAGGTTCCGTACAAGGCCCCACAAAGGAGTTGCATCAGCTGTTCCCCCCCCAACCCTTGAATGCTCCCAACCTCACCTGAAACCATCCATTTTATAGGGCAGCACTTGAGGAGTCACGGGGACCTAGTACATATACTTATCACCCCACACAACCGCATAGTAACCCCAGTTCTCCCCACCATTACCCTAAACCCTAAACCCTGAACCCCTAAACCCTGAACCCAAACACTAAACCCTTAGCAACTGCCGTGTTCGAGCCAAGCCACCCTGCAATGACTAAGCAAGCGTCGAACAGATTCGCGAGGTCCCGGTGCCTCATACAATAGTTTCTGGAAACTGTAGTCTCCTTACACCTATACAGTAAAAATGATATACTTAAGTATTCCTGAGGGTTCTACTATAATGAACATCAAAAAGAATTCCTTCCTAAGGAGACTACAGGAAATAGGGGAACCCAACGTAGACCATAACATGCTATAGTCCTTTGCATAGGGACCCCCAAGAACAGAAGGTACCCCTTATTTTTGGGAATCCCACATACAAATGGATCTCAGTTGCGGTGCACTTGTACACCTCCGAAGCCTTTATTTACCACTGCCAACGACTTGCAAGTTGCAAAGCCCCTATAAAATACCATAATATACTATGATATAATAGTTTCCATGTTCTTTTCCATCATCCCTATATAACCCCTAAATAACCCCAATATACAAAAGAGCTGGTCAAGGGATTTGGTGCCAGGCCGAAATAGAAAACCTTCTGAACGGCTTAGAAGTGGCTCAGCTGAGGGTCTGTACGAGGCGTATAGTCCCCCTTAAGTCGATAGAATATGGCTTTGGGTATATTGTAATAAGATCTCCATATACCCCATATTCTATCTGCTTGAGGGGGACTATACGGGTATCCAAGGGGCTCTAAAACTTCTTGAAGGTACACGGTTTAGGCCCCTCAACGAACGAAGCGGCATCTGTAGCGGAGCCTGCAATGAAGAACATTTAAAATTTCCACACATCAGCAGTAGCAGCAGCAAGAGCAAGAGCAGTGAACACTGAGTAGCCATGGTCATCTTATGACGATGATGACGACGATGATGATGACGATGTTTTTTGCCCAGGGGCCAGCAAGGCCATTCTACCCACACTCGTATGAGCAGCTCCTGCCAAGTCAAAACCGACTTGAATGAAAGGTGTTTTTGCAATCACGGATCCATTCAGGGATGTCCTTACACTTAGGAAGATGATTGAAGGGTGGGGGCCATGAAATTCGGCAAAAGCAGGGAAAGGGGAGTACCGCCCGTTGAAGATTTGCAGATCTGAATAGAACCCAGTCGCCATGCCATCAAGACCGCCGAAATAGCCTAACTGGACTTGGAAACCCTGAAGCTCTACTGCGCTGCTGTTCAGGAACTTGATTTAAGTAAGCTACCATAACATGGGTATATGGGAGGTTATAGAGTTTCCTTATTAGAATAACTTAGTTTAAGTTCCTTAACAGCAAGACAGTCTAAGGTCTGTCCAGGTACGGAATTCCCGTGCACAAGCATCCTGAGCCCCGAGCCGACATTTAAGCTGGCTGCAATCACCCAATGTCAAATAGTGCACGCAACCGTCTTACATTAGGGTTTAGGGTTTAGGATTTAGGGTTTAGGATTTAAGGTTTAGGGTTTAGGATTTAGGGTTTAGGGTTTAGGATTTAGGGTTTAGGGTTTAGGATTTAGGGTTTAGGGGCTTCACACCTATCGGAGACCCCACGCCACAGCGTGAGGTCTTGGAATGGCGGGTGGATCATCAACCAAAACACAGGTTGTATAGTCCCCCTTAAGTAGATAGAGTATGGGGTATATGGGGATCTTATTCTAATATACCCAAAGCCATATGCTATCTACTTAAGGGGGACTATAACCCCTTACAGCCTTGAACTACTGTTGATACTAAAAATCCTGCATGACCTTGATATAGTATAGTTCCATAATTCCCAGTACAGAATATACTTGGGGTCATGCAGGTTTTGACCATCGACCGCATTAAAACCGAATACTCCACAAGGCTCCCTAGCAAGCCTTGCAGCCCTTCGCCTTCGGGTTGTGGGATTAAGGCCTAGAGTCTTCACACCCTAACAGAGACCTCAACCCAGGAGTCTCCAGGAGGAAGATGAAGATGAACAAGGTGTCGATAAACTTGAAAACCGGCATCCTTGGACTGTATGGAGTGGGATTGGGCCTTGCAGTTGGGAAACTTACATTAAGTTTAACAATTGCGGAGAAACCATGAGCACATCATTCACTTTTACATCCGCGGTGGTAAGGTAGTTCGGGTTCCTCCACAGCAACACATGATCGTGGAGTAGGGTTGAGAAGACCCTAAACCCTGAAGCCTAAGCCCTAAGCCCTCTCATGGCAACCTGCAGACTTGAAGTAATAGAGGGATTAGACAGGATTAAGTAGGGAAGAATGGAAACTATTGCATTCTATTGGGGTTATACAGGGATTCATCACCGACTACCGTAGAACCCCGCAACATCGGGGAAATTGCCGCCGTGTAATCCTAGTATGGTTCCAACTATAGCCTTATCCGGCCTGGAAGGCTTGGGTAGCTCAGAGGTTTCCCTTACGCTTGTAAAAGACCAAAACCAAAAGAAGAATATGATCCTACTCTACATTGGGGACTAGAAGACCCACAAACAAAGCACTAGCTATATCAGGTTTGCAGGCAAGAGCTGAGGAAGGCAGCTTATTATTAGGACGTACCCTGTGCAGGACAAGTACTGTCTACAAGCTCACTAGACTTGGCTTGGGCAGCGGGAACAGCTTCAAACATGAAGACTGTGCAAACAATGCAAAAGGAAGTGCTTGCAAGCCTGCTTCTCCAACACGGTGCTGCAGGTAATTTACCGTATGCTAAACGCGAACACATGCTTGTGGAACGCAAGGCGCCCTTACAGACCACAGAGGGTAGGTTGCCAAAACTGTGCTCCCTTTTCGGCATGGGTTCCCTGAGTTAAATAGCCAGACATACTTAATTAGCGGACCCGACAAGGGACCATGGTTGTGACCCCGCGTATTTTTTCTCAGAGCAATGTGTTTGGGATCCTTTGAGTAAACAGCGCACTCTGAATTTTTGACTTGTTGAAAACCCGGATCTATCCTGGGGCAACGAACCCAAGAACCATGGACACAAAAGGCTGGCCACCTCAAAATCCAGATCCTCAGGGTTAAGGGCATATGAGTTATACTCTAAACTCCTGGTATCCTCCTTGATAAGCCCTATAACAGTCCCCTATATAATCCCCCTATAGAACCCACCCCTAAGGAGTATAGACTATAGCTTATATAGAGTTCAAGGTTTGAGTTCCAGGTGCGTACCGGAGCAACACATCCCAGCTGTCAAATGATCCTTGTATTTCAGAAGCTCACTGAACTTAAGGCCCCACTTACGTCCTGCGAACTGCGAACAAAACTTCAATGTTCTAGGCACCCAGCACTTTGGGGTACAAAATTGGGATGCTAATTTTGGAATCTACCCGCGTGCATTCCATCCATGCTTTAGAACCCTGGCCTAAGACCTAAGTCCCACACCCAACATGTGGGCTTCCCAAAAAAATAAGGTGCCCCCTTTTCGAGAACCCTTCATAGCGACGGTTATAGTATACTGGCGCCTATATTCTTGCACCATGTTCATGGGAACTACCACATGACATGCATCCCAGCAGCCAATGGCTTAGGTCAACTGG